TATATATAAAAAAACTGAGAAATGATGAAAAACAAGTTCAAACATGATGTTGCAAATGGGAAACGCGATTGTGGTGGAGCACAACCTTCACTTGTTCAACCAAAAGGCCCTACTTTCCCTAGAATGGCGGGTGCCCCGTTGGATTAGGGTTTTTATCCGCATTCTCTCCCCATATCTCGATCATTTCTTGTGTCAGGACTCCTTTATCAACGAGATTTTCTATCTCTTCCATCAACGGTATGCACTTGTCAGTGGGATGACCTAATGCCCCCATATGAAAATCACAAGCACTATTCGGGTCGTAGCCATAAGCGGATGGGCTAGTCTTCATTCTTAATGGCCTTGGAGTGAGGCACTGATTCTTGATTAAAGGGGATAACAAGTCGGAAATGGGCACTTGAAAAACCTTGAGGGTCGTATTTTCCCAAGACATCTTCTACGGCCAGTCTCAGACTACCTCTTCTTTAACTTTCTTCTTGTTACTTCCCACTTCTATCTTCTTTTTTAGCATCAAAGAGGTCTCAAGAGTTGAGTCTTTTATCTCTGTTTCACATATCTCGCTTTCCTTGATTTTATTTTTCTCCTTTTCAACACTCTCTTTGGTATGTACTTCACTTGTTTCAACCCCATCAACTTTATTCTGGCGATTAATTTTCAACTGTTGAGCATCCACCTCTATAACTCCATGAGCCAAAAGATCTCGAACCTGTCGCTTGAAGTTGCTATAATTCTCGATGGAGTGTCCTCGGGCTCCAATATGATATTCACAAGTAACATCCTCATTATACCAACTCGGATAAGGGGGCAGCAAAGGCTTGGCCAGACGTGGGACAATCAGTTGGGCTTGGAGCAACTTTGGATATATCTGGCTATATGAAAACTCTTTTGATCCCACTTTCTCCTTGCCGTTATTATGATCATATTGAAGACCTTGTGACTGATCACTGGAACATTCGCTTTGAAGGTTTAACTTTTGACCAACATCTTGGGAGAGACATTGATTTGCAAATCTCCCTTCATCGATAAGTTTTGAACTTCCGGGGAGTTTAGGTTTTCCATTTTCAAAGCATAACAACCCTTCCGTGATGAAGTTTTGAACTTTAAATCTCATGATCGTACAATCTTCTATAGAGTGGCTAAACTCATGAGAATGATAACCGCATGATTTTTTGACACCTTGCCAATTTGGACGCAAATAAGTATTGTACCTCGGAGGAAAAGGCTTTAGAAGCCCACTTTCAAAGAGAAAGGGTAACAAATCAGAATATGAGATTGGAATCGGAACCATAGATGTCCTCTTCTTCTTCTTTCTATTATTTTTGGCCTTCTTTACTGACACTTGAACTTCCTCTATGCCTCTTTTCTTTGAGTCCGGTTCCACTTTCGTATTAGAAGTTCCACCCTTAACTTCTGCTTTTCCCAGTATGATCTCCGTAGCATCTTCTGGAATCTTATTTGATTTTTGGAGTTGACTTGAATTACCACATCCCATAATAGGTTCTTGATCAGTTGCTATCATCACATTGGCTGCACCACTAACATTCAGATTCTCACCCAAAGTCTTCATCTGTTCTTGATCATTTGCTATCATCACATTGGTTGCACCACTAACATTCAGATTCTCACCCGAAGTCTTCATATTTTCTTGTGTAATAGGGTCATCTGATTATTTCTCCCCATATATCACTGTAATCATCATGCTCATCAACTTGGACATCTGTCCCCTGGATTCAACTTGGAACTTCCTTACTTCATCAATTATTTCTTGTTGGGTCCTTACAAGCTGTTCTTGAATTCTCTCGATCTTACTAACTCGTGCTAAGATCTCATTCATTGTTGTCTCTCTTTCTAGAAACACGTCTCAGAGTAACTTCAATTTGCTTCCAGAGCTTCTGTCACAGTATCTTTCATGAGTTACTCTCACATTTTCATGATTGATGCGTGTAAAAATGCTTAAATTAAAGCGATGCGAATGCAAATGTGGGTGCAAAATGCAAATGCAAAAGGTGTTAATTCCAAAAGTGACCACTATAGAACAACCTTCATTTAGACAACAAGATTTCATTACACCATGTGATCAAAATACAATTGTGACTCGTCATCTCTTCATTTCCTTGAGTCGTACTCTTCATGAAATCTGGCATTGCACCTCCAAAATTATCGGCGTACTTTATTGTCTTTGATGAAGTCGAACGTCCTTAAATTGAATCTTGGGATCTCTATCTTCACTTTCAATGCAAAATAGTCTTCATGTCTTTTTGAAGCGTCTTCTCGTCCTTGGTATTACTGCATCTATCTCCTGAGGGAACATCTTCGTCCTTCGCTCATTTGAAAAGAGTCTTCGATCGACTTCTAACTTTATTCATCGGATGTCTTTCTTCATGAATCGCTTGAATGTCTTTGGATCTCCCGATTTTGACTACATGGCTAAGAGTTTCTCGTCCCATATGACCAGCCTTCTTATTAGTCAATCACTTGCGAATTAACACCTTTGAATGACATGAAATACAAATGCAAATATAATAACTCCAAAACAAAATAGTCATAAACAATCAATGGGTTAATACACATAAACAACAAAATGATGAGTATCGTAACAAATAAAACCTATCCTCACATGCTGACTACCCAATCATGCTTAGTAGATCCTACCCAACATGATATCTACCCTCATGCTTTGTTATTCACAAAAATTCCTAACCGCATTATATCTACTTCGCATGCTTTGTTCGAGAAAAATAAACCTAACCGCATGATTTCTAGTTTGCATACATTTATTCAAAAAGCGAAAATAAATGACTCGAAAACTTTTCCTTGTGTACACTCCTCACGGAACTCTTAATGTTCGGGTTAGGCTCAACCTAAGTTCAAGCTCTATGTTCACTACATGCTGAGTTCGGTTCTAAAGCATTAGGTTCTCGAATTGTCCTTGCCGGTGCCCCCTTGGGCTGCCGAACCCTCAATCCTAGCCCATCACAGGCTTTAGGGATCGAGTTCAACTTCGAGGGAACACACCTCCCTATGTCCATGCGGAGGTGAATACCATCACGAGGACCATAAGGCGTGAGCTCCAGGAGTGATCCACTATCCCATGCGGAGGTGAAAACCACACGAGGGAGTAGTCTCTCATTCCTACTTAAATAGGACGGAGCGGGGTTTTAGCTCATGTTATGCCAATGCAACTGTGCAGTGTGTGAGGAAAAGCGAAAATAAAACATATATTCACAAAACACTCAAAAGATCAATCCTCTTTCAACACATAATTAATCTGAAACCATTAACAAACAGATCAGTACAACTATTTATTGATTAATCAAATCAAAATCAAACGGGGATCAAAAAGCAAATTAGAGCGAATTTATAACTTTCAATTGCAAAGACAATCAATTAACCGACTATAGGCCTGACTCTCTAAAAAAAAGTCCCCAGCAGAGTCGCCAAGCTATCGAAACGATTTTTTTCTTAAAAGGTGAAAAGGGGTGATTTAATTTTTAAGTTACCTCTTTTTAATTTAAAAACAAATGCGATTTAAAAGGCCTCTCGTTTCGAAAAATTTTGGATTTCCTTTACGATCGAAAAATACGGTTCAAAGAGTCGCCACCAATCCTTGATTAGGGTGTGATTGGGCACCCAAAAATGTTTTGTCATTTTAAATGAAAACTAATTTTAATTAAAACAACAAATTAAAGTCTGCGTTACCAAAATCCGAGTTCGGGAGTCGGTTACGTGTGGGGAAGGATTAGCACCCCCACAACGCCCTAAATCGGTACCTAGTCGATTAATTAACGTCTTTGCAATGAACTTTACAAATTCGAATTTATTTTGATTTTTGATCCCGTAAGACAACAAAAAAGTGAATTTTACAATACTAAAAAACACTCAAATAAATTAAATTAAAATTACCGAATCATTTTAGAAAGATAAAGAATATTCGATTATTTACAAATATCGAGACCAGATCTTAAAGATATAACAACATTTTCTCGATATATTTAAATAAACGAACATTTCTTTTTCTCTCGTTTCCAAATTTTAGATGACGAATCAATTTTTTTGTTTCACTTTCGGGATACACTTTTATTTTAAAATCATTAAAAGCGGACCTCAAATCAGTTATGACTGCCCACTTAAAACAATTTTAAATTAAAAATATATTACCCTTAATCCAATTATAAATATGTCGAGTTATGCAAGTGAGGCTATCATGCAAATTATGCAAAAATGATGTCAAGTAAAAATTAATTAAACATACGATTAAAATAAATGAGTAAATAAATCTAAAGCTAAAATTACTATTAAACAAAGACCACAAAAAAAACTATCAATGCATTACATATACCAAGATCAACATAAAACTGAGACCACCTGTAAAACTAAAATGAAAACCGAGAAAATGTTATGCCAAATATGCAACATCACATAAACTTAAAATAACATGCCCACATGACTAAAATGTGACATGCAAAAACCTTAAAGTCTAATATCTAAACAACATAAATTAAACAAATCAATATTTAGGACGAAAATTAAATGAACATAAAATAAATAGACATAATTAGATACATGCAAACTTCTAACTAGGGACTAAAATGTAACATGCGAAAATTAATAGTTTAATGTCTAAAACGGCAAAGATTAAATACAAGAATACTTAGGGCTAAAATTAGATGCGGGTAAAATAAAGAGACAAAACTATAAACATGCAAATGTTGATTTATGGACTAAAACGAACATGCAACAATTCAGAAGTTAAATGTCTAAAATAACAAAAACTAAATAATATAACATTTGGGACTGAAAATTAAAACGCATAAGATAAAGATGCAAAATTGGAAATAGGAAAACATTCGGTTTGGGGACCAAAATGAAAATAAATACAAAAACTATAGGGATTAAATGACACTCTAAGGACTCAGTGGCTAAAAGCTAATTAACCCTAAAGTTTTAACATATAACCTAAATAACAAACCTAACCTAACTCTAAACTAAACAACCCAGCCGTTCCTCTCATCTTCTCTATTCTTACTCTACTCAACTAACAGAAATGGTGACCACCATGCCTAAAATCCCTTCGATTGAGAGCCACGAACGCTCGGCCAAGGTAAGCTCTCTCTCTCTCTTTCGTTCTTTACTGTTTTGATTAAAGAAAGAAAATATTTTTATTAAGACTAACGTCAATCCCTTTTATTTTATTTTATTTTTAATTCGAATGAAAAACAGAAACAAAAAGAAACAAAAATTCCCTAAAATCAGATTTAGAAACTACCTTGTAACTTGATTTTGATTTTGTTTATCTTATATTTTCCTTATTAAGCCAAGCTAATCCAACTAAATTAGTCTTGCCTTCAAAATTTGGAAATCAGAAAACTTTATTTCTTTACCCTGTCGAGCAATCATCATAAGCTTTGTTTGCACCCGCATGTACACGTTTCCAATTCTTTGTGGAGTTTCTGAACTTCGTTTTGAAGGCCTTTAATATGCTACACAGCCAAGTCCAGCATATCTGAATAGCTCGTTTGCTTGTCTATGTTAGGAACAAGCTCTTGTAATTTCTTCAGTTTCCCACTTATTCTTGTTCTTCTCTCCTTTGTTTTCTGCTGCTCTCAAAAGGATCAATTACATGAATCCCTTTTACACACACTGTTTGATCTTTTTAATCTCAAAAAAATATTGTTTACACTGTTTTTATCCGTTGCTTTTCTGTGTAAAACGAATGAAAAGGAAAAAAAATCTTTTGTGCCTCCTCTCTTGTGCGTAGCCTCCCCCCTTTTCTCCTTTTCTTTTTTTGTCTTCCTTTTCCAGTCGTTAATCCTAAAAACTGAACTCTTTACAGTTTATTTCCCCCAAAATACTCTTCAAGTCGTGCCCCCACTTACAAACTGTTTCCATCAGTTTTTACCCTTTTTTTCCCATAACAGTTTGCCTCATTGCTTCTTACTTGGCTCCCAAAAAATCTGACTTGGTTATTTGCTGCAGTTATAGGCGAAACGGTTGAAGAGAGACAACTGGGTGTTGCAAACTGTTATATTTATTTTAGTCCTGCAATCCACTTTGAATCTTGTATTGGACCCTGGACAAAAACGAGCATCTACAGATTTTTTTCTCTTTAACTTTTTTATGTGTAGTTTTTAAAGGTGAGCATATCAACCAAGCAAATGAGATTTTTTAGTATGACTATGACCCACTAATATTTTAGAAAAATGGTTGGATGAGATTGAGAACATGTCTGGATCTATCAGATGCAAAGAAGCCTTGGATATTGTGAACGAGAAGACAAAGACAGAGACCCATCATGGTGCACAACAATGGCATCCAAGAGCGGTTTTGCAAGCCAATACTAGTGGAAAAGCATGCACTTGAACATTCATATACGCCAACAGACATGACATGGTAACCATTTCCAAACAGGATATGATGTCTGACTTTTCCATAACAGAAATGTCATCAAGTCAACAGAGCACGGAGGTCAATATGTCAACCACTAGAAGTAGGGATGGAAGATGGTGGGTGGGGTAGTGGATATGTAGATGCAAATAGATAATTTGTCTATTTTACCGTATTAAATATTCATATTGTGCCCATTATCTCCTTCATCTAAGACACGTAATTTGCAGAATCAAAAATAGAACAGGAAAGAGAGTGAGGGCAAAATATTCCATATTTTTTGGTGATATCATCTCACTTTCTAATTCGGTGATGAGTTGATGGAAAGGGATGTAAGTTAGGGGAAGAGTCTGGTTTGCAGCTTCGGGTATTCCCATTGTTGGCATATATGACAATACTGATGGAGTTTGCATGTTACGGGTTGGAATTAAACTAGTGAATATCACTATCCTGCGGCTCAACGGTTCCTCCTCTCCCTCCCTAATGGTAATACAGACAAAGTTGCATGACAGGGTTGCAATGTGACTGCATTTCAAAATGTAAAGCCTGTTTTTGCTCAGGATGTATGTTTTGTACTTCTTTCCGTTACTGAAACACCGATGACATGTAAAACGCAATAAAATGAATTATCCTCAAACTATATATGCTTTTCTAAACAAAATGAAAAAAAAAAGTGTATTAATGAAGAAACATTTTTGAATATCCTAGTGTTGGACAGACATTCCCATTTCCGAATCTCGTCCGGTTCTTGAAAATTATCTTTCTTACACTGAATCAGAAGCATAGTTGAAAGAGGCACAAAGCTGATGATGGTAACGTTAAATCTGCAGTATACTTCATCATATCATGTATGGACAAGTTTGGATTAGATAGAAATACATTTAAAATGTGATTATGGTCATTTTTGTCCAACACGAATCAATTCCGTATGGTGTTACTGCAATGATTCATATCTGTTTATAGCCTAGTTATGAGCTGAGGGTGAATATATAAAAGAAAACTGCAGTTCACTTAAAATTGGGGTTTTATTGGTTTATGTTGAAAGAAGACGATGACCAATGATACATGAATGCACTCTAAAAAAAAACTTTATAAACCAAGATTCCCCAGCCTTGATCTTCCAAAGCAGGATAGCTGATAAACTGTCTCAAAAATGCTGTTGCTAATATCTGGTTCCGAGTAACATGACCGCATATAGACAGAAGCAAATTCAGGAGTAGAAAAACTAGTCAGTATTCTCATTGCACCGAAAAGCAGGCTCAACCGTTACACATCCATAACTGAATGAGATTGTCTCTGTGTGGGGCTTACACTCCCACCACGGTTTATTTTGAGTGCATCCAAATCTTTTTGTATCTCCATGGACATTGCACTGTCCACACTCCCTGAAGATAGCTTCTTATGTGCTTTCTGCAAATGAAGCTTGAGTGAACTACTGCTCAACCCAGCATTCTTCCCACAAATCGGACAAACTTTCATCATTGGTTTTCGTTGATGCCAATCCATTGAAACCTTTCCATGCAGTTTCCGATCAAGATACAATAATATCCTTGCAAACCCATCATTTGGTTGGGCTCGACGATGAGCTCGCTTGAAGGAATTCCATGCTTCTAATATAATTAAGTTCCTGCCCACAATAGCAATAACATTTCATTCAATTGGAAAAAAAGAACCTCCTCCGATTTATCGATACTGGAGGTTCTTTAGCAACAATATAGCCTTCTATCAAGCTATAATTCTGTAAAATGCAAAGCATGAAATATTCTTACTTCTGAAGCATCAGGTATGCAATCACTACTGTGGCACTCCTACTTTTCCCTTCAAAGCAATGAACTAAGATTCTTCCACCTATTTGTTCAACGTGATCAATAAAATCACAAACTTCTTCAAAGATACTGCTGATGTTTGAATCTTCATTGTCATATATCTGTTCCAATAAGGCACAATCATATATGTTATGAAAGAAGTTTCCATTCAGGTAGCATCAGAGAGTTTTACATTCAACACTTCCATAGAACTGAGTCTAAGATGTGTACAAAGGCAAAATGGCCGTTACCACTTTCCATTGTCCGCTGCTGTTATATCCACGACCACCACTAATATTATCGTTCTATGCTTTTTGATTCATGTATCTTTGAACCGAAGGCCCAGTTATTTCAGTTTATGTTATCCAGCAGAGAAAATAAGCAAAAGTTAAGACGGGATTTCATGCAGATGCATTAAAAAAACCACACTTTCTTCATTTAGAACCAAACTAATAAAAATGTAGAAGGAAATATAGGTAGTTACGGAAAAGTTTTTGTACTCGAATAGGTCATGGTATTGGGAATCTGCTTGGCCAATTTCATTGGAGCACAGACACAATTCATGAGTAATTCCAAAATGCTGCAGTGTATAAGCAGATCTAGCGGCCAGTGCCCCACCAATGAAGAAGCTACCCGTTATTAAAAATGGCTTGTCCGTATTAGCAGCCTCAGATATCAATCCTATCCTCTCAAGAACATGCTCAAGCCTAACCTGTATGTTATAATAGCCAAAGAGACAATTAGCATATGGAGATGCAACCACAAACACTGAAGTAATGTTTTCTACCAACTGCATAGAAAGAAGGCCAAGAAGTTGAATGAGGGTATTACCTTCAATTCATAAGCATCGAAAACACTGTTATTATCACTTCCCTCAAAGAAACCCGAATTGAAATTGTTATCTTGGCAGAGTTTAACAGCGTCACTTTTAAGCATTTCATTCCATTGCTCCAGATATTTGCTTGATTCAGCATCAACCTAAGTGCAATAGTAGTTTAGGATGAAGCATTTCACATAAAAGTAAAAGTGAACTTTTAAAGAAAGTGAAAGCTCATTGTTGGGGGGAAGGAGAAAATTACAATAAAAGTATTTACCTTCAATAAGGTGTCAGAGCCGAAAGGAGACCGAAGCTTCCCATGATGTGACACGCAATTTTAAGAAGTGATAGAAGCATTCTTAAAATTCCACCTTATCCGTAGTCCATGTTAGGTGATTCAGTGCTGGCAATCCTGTCATCAATCCACTTGTTCAAGTCTTTACTGCCTACATTTCCAAAAACCAATGGACAAGGGAAGGATTGTTGGCACAAGGTATCAAAATAATCAGAGGTTGCTGGTGTTGCACCAGAAATGCTAGTGCTTGAATTGACAACTTCCAACAAATTGATTACAGAGATAGAAGCTCCTACAGAACCCTTCATTTCTTGACAACATCGTCAGCATGGATCTTGACAACCTCTCCAGCTCTTATATTTTTCCATTTCTTCATTTGAAATTACCCTGCCTGTAGAACTAACTCCTCTCGATTGTTATCAGCCAATCCTCATAACCATCTTTAATTGCCGTGACACAAAGCACAAACAAGAGTGGGAAAAGATAAACAGTTCTCCCAAAGACTGCTAGAGGTGAAAGTTGATTGAGAGCAGCAATAAGCCACTCGATGAAACTGAATGAAAAAATTCTTGGGCAAGAATGTTAAAAGGGTATACTTGGTAGTCCGAATCTCATTCATGGTGAGCTCATATTTGTCATTAGTTCTCCTAGGATCATTAATGTAGATCAACCTTGGATCTTCAGCATATGGGAGATTATCATCAAAATCCACAGTTTTATTGCGGATACCATGAGAGTTACTCAATTTTTTAGATAACAAAATGCACAATTTTATATAAATCGATTATGTTTGAAATAGAGTAACATTTACTTGGCCATTTCAAGAATCATCATGAGATGTTATTTAACTTCTATCGCTTTCAAGCAACTTTTAAGAATTGGGAACCAACTAGCAAAAGCATCAAGCAAACAAAGGTAGACACATAATGAATGATGATAAGTCATACTAAAGATTCTTGAACAAGAATAGCCTCAACTGTTGCAAAGCTCGTACTTCTATTATTTATTTTCCAGAAGCTTTAAGATTACAGATTGCAAGTGACTTTGAGCTATAAGAACCACAGGATTGAAAATAGTTTAACAAAAACAGCCTGTACAATGCGAAGTCATAGTGAAGTTTTTGAACAAAAATAGTCTCACTGTTTTGAAGCTCTAATTTTCTATTACTGCTTTCCCGGAAGCTGTGTTTATATATTACGCTTATGTTCATATTAACCACATAAACAGAGAAGTTATTTAATTTCCAAAGTAAATTTGGTATGATCGTTACCTTTGTATGCAAAATAGAGGCTCAAGATATTTGAATCCCAGCTGTGGTTCTCGGGAACATCCAGTTACAAACCTAAAAAGAATCTCATCTAATTATTATCCTCTCCCATGTTCATTATTCTTGAAGCTAACAATTGAAGTAGACTAAATAGATCACAGATGATGCAACTCCCTACAATTTTTTTTTGATTTTCTAGAGAAAAGCTTTTGAGGACTTCCCAAAACATATCAATGACATAATGGTACTGTTAAACAAATTAAGTAAAAATAAGGCTTTGAAAGCAAAGAATTGTCAATAATAATATAAGATAGAGCAATTAATCAATTCAGTAACAATTTACGCTCCTCAGTCCTTCCATTTCACTTAGATATTGGAATGAAATCATTACAGACCAACAAATAAGAGAGGAGGATAAGGTAAACAACTTACACTGTGATAACCACCCCCATAATTGGTGTTGCATCGAAGGTCATCAACATCCAAGCTATCAAGCGAACCCGATATCAGAAGCTGCAATGAAAAATAGATTTCAAGGATTTATAAAGCTCAAGATGGCATTGGCACGCAAGTGATAAATATTTACACTTTTGAAAGATAAGTACAAGTTTATCCACAGTGACTGTAAGAATACTTTTAGGACCCTAAATCATCAAAAGGAAATTATTCAGAATTCTAGTCATTGCCATTGCTGTTGAGGTGGCTTTTAAATCTTGGCCAGCTTCAAATGGTAACGCTTAGAAACATAGAGGAAAGCCATTGGAATCGGAGGAGGCGAAGGAAAATCCGCAGAACAGAGCAGAGCCTGGGTTCGTTTTGTGAAGGGTAAACCATAATCCCACATCCCTTACGAAAATAGAAGCAAATGATCCCACATCGGGGTGGAAATCAGTAAAAGAAAGGCACGGATTTCTTTAAAGGCATAAAAATTTTGAATAAAAAAATGGAAGAGCGGGTGGCCTGTAGCGGCTATATTGACAAAAATGTACAGCTTGGGAGAGCAGGTATGATAAAAGGGTTTAGGAAATCATTATTTTATGTCAAAAGGGGAATTTTCATTTGAGTTCACATCGTTCAACATTCCCATAGAGCTAAGATTGTTCACGGCTAATATTTTATATTTATAAAAAATGGTAGAACAATTATATATAATTGTCATGTTCCATAGTGTTGAAAAAACACAGTGATGTATTTCTCTTCCTTTGGTTCCCTTCTTTCCATGTAGCATGAGATCAATGTCTGTAAACATTTCTGTTCCTTTTCATGTTCCAGTTACAACATATAATTCGGTTATCAAACATGCCAACAAGATCATTATGCTTAAACATAATCAAGTTCCGGGCAAGCAAGCACACAATCATCATATCAGATCATTCTCCAAGAACAAGGTTAATCTCATTTTTCATGTTGTCTTTCCGTTTGTCATGGATGTTTGATGTCTAGTTGGTATTTAAACAGGTTTTCGAGGGTGGGTGCGAGCAGTTGAAAGGAACATTACAAAAAAGAATGCCTAGAATGAAGTTAAGGAATATTGCAACACAAGCAAAATACTTGAAGAACTAACTAAAGATCCACTATTGCATCTTAAGGATACAAAACATCCCAAGCTCACACGTAGGACTCCTTCCGCACCCAAACAACCACGGCCACCTTGACAATTCTTCAGTTCTGCAACCACATTGTCAAATAACAAGCTGATTAACATTATTATGGTCAAGCTATAGCCAGTTGGGGGAAACCAGGCTATTTTACTTCCAATGCAACTGCAATACCGAATTCCAAAGTTGTAATCAAGATATGAAACATAGATTTCGGTAATGAAGATAAACATGTTTCCCTAGCATGGCCAATTCAGAAACAGAAACTCAGAACTCAATATTCATATGAACTATGCAGTAGCAAATAACATAAAACTAAAAGCATGTTCTCATACAGCAGATCATTATTGTTCCTCCCAATGCTAAAATCCTAGATAATCAAGTATGGCTGTGTATGTAATACATTTGCAAAAGCTGAAATAGTTTCTATCCCAAGGATTGAGAGGTGTCAGCACGATTAAGACATTTTTTCCTGCATCTCCATGACACCTGAATACGAGTTGCTGCAAGGCTTCTCCAATATGGTGATTCATAACTGTAAAAATAACACTTTCATCAAATACATAATCAGCACCGTCACATATTACTCACAAAATGTCTCCAAATGACCTGAAGGGGAATGGATGTCTCTAATTTGAAAGCAAAATCTGTACAATCACTGCAACACTACTAGTAACAGTGTATATAATCACTGGCCCAACTACTAACACGACTGAACCAGGAAAACCAATTGTTTCATTAGTGATGCGGTCTAAGGCATTATTGAGAAGCATAGAAGCTGCTGAAATGAGAGAACCTAACGATTATATTGAACATATGTAATCACAAGTGTCGTACCCGTTTGGAGCTAAATTAGGACAGTGTGTACACATGGGATCAATGCTGAAACTTTTTCAGTCCAACAACTATATGATGCTATTGCAACTTTTTACAGACATTAAACACACCTATCATTATCAAACTTTGTTTGATTTGTAATCAAGGATCAGTGATAAATTTTACATATTCGTAATTATCAAACTTTGTAATCTTTTGTCTTAGTTGATTTTTTTATTTAACATATTCGTAGTGATCTTCTCTCATGATCTTTTACCCCTGTAATATAATATGTTTAGTAGATTAAACTATTGATCCCTGATTGCTTAGATGAATAGCAAGGTCTCTCAACACATCATGCTGAGTAACACATATTTCATAGTAACTGCAGAACGCATCTCCAGCCCTGCAGAATACAATTCCGAAAACTAAATTTTTAGCAATTCCAAAACTTTAAGTAACTAAAGCCACTCGAACTAAGTAACATATCTCAAGTCTCAAGTAACTAAAGCCAATTGAATTAAGTAACATACCGAGTATCTTTGACCAGAGTGAGTAGGTTCTTATCAGAAAGCTCCATAAGAATTGCAAAAGGTTCTTCTTCGTCAATATTATGGATTTCAACCCACATATTTACAAGAACATCAAGGGGGATTTTCTTATCTTCAGGAAAAGATCCCAAATCCAAGAAACACTGCTGAACTAAAAATCAAAGCGATGCAGCAAAAGAAAGCAGAGAAATTACAATTACCTGGGTTTTGTGAGAGTGGATTATCCATAACAAGATCGGGGGAATTTCTTGCTCCATCTTTTGGAACGTGTGGATCCACCAGCAGTTGCCTTCTCAAACCAGCATATATAAATGCTCATAAAACCAGAGATTTGAGACTACAACAGTTAGATTTTATTCTATAAAAAATGTAAAAATGGAAATAAAAACTCTCATAATTGATTATTGTAATTTAATTTTAAAAAATAATGTTTTTTTGAAACAATATGAACATGAAAAGAAGCTCAAAATTACATATTCTGACTCTAATTCTGGTTTTTTCTCCATATAAAATAAAAAGGAAGGTGACGGAAAAAACAAAAGGGTTACCTTCTGGGAGAATCAGCTGTTACTCTTCTGAGATCATCAATTAAAGAAGAAGGTAAAATTCCGAGTTTGATATGCCATCGGACGCCTCTGAAACTGGAAAAAGCACGATTTTCGGCCAGGGCGACACAGGACGACGAAGGCGTTACTTCCTTTACAATCCCTTTGCTCATTCCTTGCGATCAAAAACAACTAGACAAAAAGGTAAACCGTGTTACGCCTGGATTTGGGAGACCAAAATCATTGAAACAACAACAAAAAAGGGAATTATTAAAAGGGGTTTGGGGTTTAGAGCTGCACTAGAACAGCGACCGACGGTCTCCACACAAGTCAGTCCAAACATCCCACATCTTAACAGTTCCATCATATGCAGATGTTAGGACCCATTCACCAAACAACATAAAAACAAGAAAACAAACAACATTCAAAGAAGTTGATTTATGGAGATCAACACAATGTTTACACTTGCAGAGAACTTTTATGGAGGTTGCTTTAGGACAAGTGAAACATTTAAATTTCACAATTTCAGAAGTCAGTCCAATATAATTTTCATTTTACACAGTCAAAGAATGGAAAAAGAAAAACCATGAATGAAGGCACCTTGCAGAAATTAGATTTTATGGACTGCATTATATTGAAGCCTGAAGTTCAGCTAAACATTACTCAACAAAAGAAACATTCATTTACCATGTAGGTGCTCCAGCCATTAGCAGGAATTATGTTTTGAGAAGGAGAAACAACAACAGACATGTAGTTTTGGGTTTGTAAATGTGGGCCAGAAACAAACGGTGCCCTAGGTAATGACCATGTGGGTAATCCACCAGCATATGGCACACCTGTCGGTGGCAAAACTGATGATCCCGCAGGTCCGTTTACAGGTAAGCCAGCCCCAGGTGAAGCAGGATGGGGATGATGGAATTTGCAAGCAACTCCAAATTTACATGATCCGGTCCTCATGAAATAAGGACATGATTTTTCATCCTGATAAATATAAAGCTAGCATGAGACTACATAAGGTCAGGCGAGCACATCAAAGAAGAGAGAAAGAAATAACCTGACGCATAGGAAGACCAAGAATGTTAAATGTAACAGGTCCAGCTCCATTTCTGTCCTTCGGATGATGATATTTACATGTGGATCCATATTTGCAAGCTCCTGTCTTTTAAAAAGTAATGCAGAGGAGGTTAATGAAAACTTCTAAATTAAAAGCTTTCTACAACAAATGCTTTGTTAGTCTTGATAAAAAAAAACATATAAAACAAAAAACAGAAGACAGAGAGAGACAGCTTAAACATAATGTCTAAACAGTTTAACACTATATCAAACATATCAACGATGACCCTGAGCTACATCAATTTTCTTTAGAAAGAAAAAAGAGTTCTGCATCACTTCACCAGGTTAAAAGGAAACATTAGCACACTAGTTAGATTAAGAAGATCATAGTCCCTGCTGTCCCCTGGTAAAACATCATCATTGACACTACACCACGCAAAATAGAAACAACAGCAAAATGACGACTAGCACTATCAGAAAACTCCATGCCCACATATCATGTTAACAGTCTTGCACATGTACACAATATCATGCATGCTATGTATTCCACAGTTCAAGTGAACGATTATCCATGAAATATTAATTTCCCAAAAAATGTTCCTAATTAAATAACATCTATTTGCGTAAACAACCACATTAGGTGTCTTCCCTTTTCTCACAGAGAGTTAGATATATACCCCAGCAAAAAATAGCAACACAAACATCTACTGGAAAAGGCAAGTTAGATCATTGATCTTAAGTGAGAAAGTAATAATACGCCACAGTCTGCTATTAAGTTCAAATGCTTATGATTGGAAGTTAACCTGCAAAAGCTCCTTCGAATAGATCAATGAGATCTCTAAGTGCAAAAAAATCATTGCTTCTTCGAGATCCATGTCCTTTGTTTATTGACATACGAAATGCACAGTGAACATAAGGAAGCATCTTTCCTATTTTTTCTGATGCCCGTAACATGGTTCAAAGCTGGAACCTTTGAAAACAGGAAGGGATTAACTGCACTGACACAAAGCATGGGCTACAAAAGAGGGGGGAATTGTAGTGAAAACTCTTGGCTTGACCTTAACTGCTATCAAATAAACATTTGGGAGATTCAATTTTTCAATAAAAATTTCCTTTAAGTGAATACATTAATTCTAATATATATATATATATATATATATATATATATATATATATATATATAAGCACTGCACAACAGATCACTGTTAGAATAAAATGAGAATCTAAGCAGTTCATTTGATTATCCTTATTTTTAAATCCTGTGAAAAGTAAGAAGAGGGAGTAAGGCAATTGTTCCCATAAATAAAAGTAAAGATATCTACCTGAATGCACTAATTTCCATCCCAAATGGGCATAAGTAAATCAATGTCAAGTCCTGGTTGCATTAACAAACTATTAACCTAATGTACTGCAGTCCATACCTGGTCACGTATAGAATCCAGTTATGATTTAGCCAATTGAGAAACTGGATATCAAGTAAAATCCTAAAGATGCAACGCTCTTGCTGGTAAGATTGCCATCTCATTTGTATGACAGGAAGAACAAAACAACTGCCCAGTGTATTCACAAAGTCTAGGCTTTCCCCATCCAATTGATTGGGCCAAATCTCTCAGTAGTCATTCCTTCATCAAAATGTTTGTGGCATCTAGCAGAAGTGTAACGTTGAGTTTCTAACATCTGTTTCTAACTGAAATGGGTTCCTTTTGATCTTCAAAATGTGTGTTCTCACTCGCATTATCGAAACATTGTAGCAAATAAATCGGCACATTATTTGACAAAAATGCAAGGTTTATTGATAGGAAAACGCCATGCCACCCAACTCGAACTTTGACACAATAAAGAGAATATAGGGCCGCTATTAAAACTATTGATCTCGCATGACTTAAGGAGAACAAATAACCTGCGCATAGATATACCAGCTTAAAAGTTTGCGAAACAACGAAGGCAACGAAAGCAGATGAAATGCAAATACAATTAAGCAAGGCAAACAACTCCACATCATGATAAGCAACGAAGCAAATCTCTAAAAGCAAAGAAATCCCACCTCTGGAACTGATTGCTCTAGCAATTTCTTAAGATAAACACGCTTTTTCCTTGGCAAAACCCCTTCCCGATTCAATAACCCGAAGCAAATGATTCCGTCGATGATATCCTGGAAATGGCAACAACCATCTTCTCTACCGTCACCAGTATTTGCATTGATTCTAAAAGTGATCGGACACCGACCACCCAACGATCAAGAAGGCGAAAGCAAGGAAGACAATGAAAAAGGAAGAGGAAAGGCTTTGTTTGGGTTCGACCTAAACCAAGAAAATTAAAAGATTAAAGGTTTACGAATTTTTTTTAACGTCTGTGAAAGCTAAGAAGAA